TTTGTTTTATTTTAATAAAGGGAAGAACTAAAGTTTCTTTGTGTTCAAAAAAATGTGTTAAATTTGTTTGGATAATTTTAACATTAATTTTTTTTAGTAACTTGGTACAAAAATAAAGAATAACACAATTTAGGGCCAGTTTATACAATATTTTAACTGAGATTAAGTTGATCGCGCATTTCACAAGACCATTAGCGACGTCTGATTGGCGTAGAGTCGGCGACATGGTCCTTTAACGCGGGGTTAAAAATAAATCGCAATTAAATAATTAATTGAGGTTCTGTAAACCGGGTTTAATTGTTTTAGGTATATACTATTTTAATTTTAATAAAATAAGCCGATCGGTCGGCTGTTTAGCCAACCAGTCGCCGACTGCAGCCGACGATGAAAAACGGCCGAATAGTCGGCTTATCCGACCGGTCGGCCAGTAGTCAGTGCATCCCTAGTTATAACTGAAAATTGAGAAAAGTTCTGTGTAAACAACATATTTTTTGAGTAATTTAGACAGAACGTCAAAACAATGCATGAATCGGTTTTTTTATTACGTTGTTATGTCTTATAATTTATTAATCTTACATGTGAATAGAATGGTTGAAAAAAATATAAAATGTTTGTAAGCGTTATGAATGGATCAAGTAGGTATACTAGTATGCGAACTGGTATATGCCGTCCAAGAAAGAAACACGAAGTGCGGCAGTATTTCAAAAACGAAAAGTACAAGTACTTTTTGTGGTCAAGATGCCCACATTATTTTTGTCTGCAATAGTTATCAGTCCTTATCACTTATCACTCTAATTGATTTTATTTCATTTTTTTCGTTTCTCATGTTTTTTGTGTTTTGTGAAAAAAATTGTAAAAAATATATGAATCCGTGTTTCTACTGATTTTTGAGCTCCCTCAAATCTACTAACTGAATCCGTACCCAAAGAAATAAAGATGGATTATGGCAAAATAATTGATTCGAGCTGTCAGATTTATTCATTTTGGCGAAATTTTTAAATCTTTATTTTATTTTGTGATCATTTTTACTTCCCGAGCATAAGCTAAGAAAGTATTGTAATCAAGTGCATCGAGCGACTAGCTACTTTGATGTTTTCTCAACGTCTCATGACCCCTAGCACGCAAAAATTGATCTCTCGTTTTCGTCTGTCTGTCTGCTGTCTGCCGTCTGTCGGCATCTGTCGATTTTTATTACACAAATAATCTCCGAAGCTACTGAACCGATTGTGTCAAATTTCGTATGTATATTAGAAATATCGCATATCGTGACCAAAATTTGTCTAATTATCCCCACCAACAATGATACGACGTCATCTTCAACTTTTAGATTAGTAAATGTTATTTAAACTTCACAAAAGAAGATACTCCTCCACTTGTAGTTTATGAATCCGTGTTGAATTTTTACCATAGACATTCAGATTTTTCGAGAAAAAATCAAAATTGTGTAACATTTTTAACTTTGAAACTGGAAAACCGAATGCTCCGAAATTTTGCAAATGTTCTACACTTTTTTAAGCATAGTAAATTGTTAATCCAAATTTGTCCGATTATCCCCTCCCAAACACCGTTGATGACATCATCTCAAAATTTTCTGTTATGAATAGTATTTGTTCGACTGTACTTTAGGAGCGAGGGAAGTTCTGTCGAAATAACCTTTCACCACTTTTTTTATTGAACAATGGTTTCTATGATTTTTTTAATCTCTTATCCTTTTATTAAAAAAAAATGTCTAAAGTTAATTAAGACAAAGCTTTCCGCGCATCACCGGAATGAAATCAAATTTCTTTCAATTATATTATAATATATTTTAATTATAAATTAGTTGTTAAACTACATCAGGTAAAGCTATGCGTATGTTTCAAGTGAGTGTTTCATAACAAAATGTTATGCTGACGTCATCAACATTATAGCAAGAAAATATATCAGTTTGGATAGGTACAGTATTATACTAACAATAATACTACCACTATACTCCCAAATTTTAGAAAAAATAGGATGGGTCGTTCTTGACTTGATCAATAAAATAAATTTTAAAACTGTATTTAACGATTTTCATTTTTTTTGTCTCGGGTACAAAATCAAAACTGATTTAGATAAACTAGAATTATTGAAGTATGTCATTTTATGAAATTTACTACGTGATATGATAACTTTATCAAATTGTTGGTGGGGTTAATTAGTAAAATTTTGGTCAGCGTTTTATCATCTACATGACAAATCAAAATTTGACAATAATCAGTCAGTAGTTTCGGAGATAGGTGCCTAATAGAAATCAACACAAAGACCAGGCAAACAGACCGACAGACGGAAATCGTGTTTACCGTCTATACATGTACTTGATATTCGTCAAAATACATACATATAAAATCACAACAATCAGTCAGTAGTTTCGGATATACAACGGATGTTAGATGACAGATAGACAATGGACAGAGGAGATCAATTTTGAATTTTGAAACATCAAAATTGTGCAGTTAAATACGAACGAACACGAATCGATAAAACTAACTTTTCCATAAGTTATATATCTAGGAAATTAGACGTCAAACTGTTTTTCTAAAAACCCTTGAAAATAACAATTGAGAATAAACAATACACACTTATAATAAATATCATTCCTACATACCTATCTCTGAAAATGTTAAAGTTGTTTACTTCGATGAAATGATATAAATTATCAGGTTGAACTTATTATAATTATAAGCTATACATGTACAGTCAATAATTTAAATGCAAGACGAATTTTTTAAATGTTATCTTTTGAGAAAGTACACAACTACTTAAATTAATGAATAAATAAAACCTTGTTCAGTGTACGTGAATCTTTAAGCACGGTAGTTGTCTAATAACAATAACAGTCTGTCAAAATTTAAAATAATATATAAACACAGGTCATAAACGCTTGGAACTTGAAAATGGCTTCCGTCTAGGTATGGAATTTAAAATATTTGCCATCTTTTTTAATTATTTCATAAATTAACCAATAACAAATTTACCGTGTGTGCGGTATACATATTGGCTCAGCTATTGACAGAAATTAGAAGAGAAACGCCATTAAAAAAAAATCACAAATTCCCTTAAATGCTGCCAAACACATATATGCTAAAAAATACGTTTTACCCCATCTCTTTGCAAAATTTTTCTAAAGGGCAGGCACTTTCCAAACACTCTTAAGCAAAACTGGACAAATTATTATACAGCAAAATGAATAAAATATGTATAAAAACCCTGTCACACCTATATAAATAGTTACAGCTATCTAAATAAAACAACGAGTATCTATATGTATATCCAAGTGTAGACTTCGTCACTCTGTTAAAATTTAAACCGAATCAATTATAATTAGCTAATTACAATAATAATAAAAAAAGAATTACTATTGCACAAATGCTTGCAATGCTGATGAGTTAATTAGGACAACCGCCAATTCTGATGAGTGCCAGTGTTGTCGAAAATGTAAAAAATGTTGTAATCGTTCCAATGATATCTATAGAAAGCATCTAATTAACGTCAAAGTGACTAGTAAAATAAAAGTTTAAAATTTATGATACAAAATTAGCGACACACCTCTTAAAATTATTCAGTAGGTATAAAATTTTAATGATAAATTTGTTGAAACACCTTATTAATATCAATTTAAAAGAGACTTTCAAAACTTAATTATATATTGTGTATTGATCAGAACCGTGTCCAATTACTAAACGTTATAGCCCACAATAATTCGATGTTTCGGTACAATTAACCTAATTTTTAAAACAAGAGGAGAAACGCCAGAAAAACTTGCGACAAAAAGAAAGATTTATGGTCGAAATAAACCGAAACCACACCAGACCACAAACTGTATTGTATATTTCACAATTCATTTACGACTCCTAATACAAAAAATCAAGTGTAACAAATATTTACATCCTGCGTCATTCAGATCAACCCTTCACGCTTTCTAGTAGGGTGATTTGAAAGAATTTAGAAAATGGTTTTTGTGGAAATGGCGTTGTAAATTTCTTTTGACAAGACGTCCAGCAAAGATGAGTTCTGTGACTAATCTTAACGGAGAGCTGTCAATATTACACACTGGTCCAGATTAGTGCGATGACTTGTAGGTAGGGACCATTTTCAGTTTGCTGCTATTTTATATTCATTCATTCCGTACATAAATTATGAGACGAGGCATTAATTCGAAAGCTTTTTACGTCTCATGACTCGGAATGATTTATTTATTTAATTTTTAATAAAGTTATAAACGTAAGAGCTTTCTCCAATTTGACACAAATTACTCGATAGTATCAGATTACGTATCGGGTACAACCTACCTTTTTTGATCTATATTGGATGAGGACGACCCAAATTAAATTACCCACCAGAAAGCTCGAGCTTTGATTGCTGCCGCAATCGCGTGGTCACAATCAGAAGCAATACCATAAAAAAACGCATTTTTTTTTCTTAATTTGCTTATCTAACGTTGGAAATGAATAATGACCAACTCACCAATTATAATAGTTTTTGTGTCTCTAATGGAGTTTGCGTAATAAAAAACTTTAACAGCTGCCTACACGGACTTTGATTTTTTACTTCGTCTTCATTTTGTCGGAGAATTAATCTTACAAGTTTTTTCGTGGTTACGCTACTGACATCTAGCGAGATCAAAAAGGTATTCGATATAAATATTCATAAGGCAGCTTCAGTCGTTGTGTTACTCGACAAATTAAATGCATTTGGAGCGGAGTTTGTATACGTTATTTCTTTCAACATTACTTATCAAAAGCTGTTTATATTAATAAATTAATGTTCGAAATGTGGTAGTCATTTACTGAAAGATAGCTGACGGGGGTTTAATGTGCTGTATATAAATTATTTTGTGGAAGAAGGTAACGAAATAAAAAAAATGATTGATGTTCAATAGTTATTTATTTAATTTACAATCCACTTATTATATGTACACAACAACAAATTCCTTTTAACATATCATAATACAATGAAAAACTAAGTAAATAATTGACAGTGAAGGATATTTTTTATAAAATATACATTTTACAGTACATAAAACTATTTCTTACAGACAGTTTTTTGATTCTATAGCAACCTTTGAAATGATTATGAAGCCAAGAACTAGTACTACTGTCCTGATATGGAATGGTTACGTAAACTCAAAAATCGAGAATTTCTGCTATAGAACCAACATCAAAAGGAACGTTTCTGTTCTCTGATCGGAGAACTTAAGTACTACACCAATAATTATGTACAATAATACTGCTATCTGTTGTACAAAATATAATTACACGTACACTTTACAGAGATTAAAAAAATGACTCTACCAAGACTCCCTAGATCTTTACACGAATAAATAATTTCAACGACAGTTTTATTTACAGTTAATCTCACAATTAGCGTCTTGCGGAAAGACTCTTTGGTTTAGGATTTGGCGTGAACCAAAGGCTGCCTCTTCTATCAGTGTCCGGCCCTGGAGCTGGGACTCAAAGAAGAGGTCTGACGGGGTAAGGGAGACGCGTACGGGCTAAAACGATGCATTGACGAAGGGAACACAGCTTTAGGTAACCTCAAATCGGAAGTACTGACGGCGGTGGGACTGGGCGATCCCGAGGAACTGGGGGTGGAAGAGGGTGGAGGGGTCATCTGAGGGCGGTGGGGCGGCGGTGGCCCCAACAAGCCGGGAGGGAGACCCCCGTGCATGGGAGACTGCCACGAGGAGCCGCCCTGACTCCACAGTTGACTCGTTAAACCCAGAGGAACAGAAGGTCGTTGACCAAGGTATATTTGCTGGCTGGGTGAGCTATTGAGCAGGAAAGCATGCAATTCGCTGGGGTTGTAAGGAGCGCCGCCCGACGCACGACCCCACATCTGGATATGGGCCCGGGCTTTTTCCATCATCGCGGCGGAAAACAGCGAGCCGGCGTTGTTGTTCTCGGCATCGAGAGAATCGCCTGAGTACAATCGAAGTGAAGACCGTAGGAAGTGCTGGTCCATGAAAAGACTATCCATTGGTTCCCTGAAAACACAAAAAATTAAGGTTAATATTAAGAGAAAATGACAAGATTCTGAGCAATTATACGTGTAAGATTTGTCATTAGCAAAAATGAACCAATTCACCAATTGTCCAGATTTTTTGACTATGAGAAACAGTCGAAATGTATGTATTTCTACAATTTGTTGAGAATTGTAATTTATAGCGCCGAAAGTTTTTATTCGATGTAACTGTTCAAATTTGCAATTTAAAATCATGTTAACTGCTACGGTATACAGACTAATTCATTATTTTCATTTTAAAAAACATTTAGTACGAATATAATCAAAACAGCTTTTTCGCTGAGGAAATATTTTGGATTTACAAAAACTCTGAGAATCTAGAAAATGACAGTGTAAACCCTGATGACGAAACGATGAAAATGTAATCTGTACAAACTTTAATGTTGAAAATTTTCATTAACGATCTTATTTTTAACTATCGTAGATGCGGGCCTAACAAACATTTTTTTTAACAGAACAGTTTCGTGAGACGACGTTTTGATGTGTATCTTCCATACTAATAATAATTACAATAATATCTTATTACAATATTAAATAAGAAAATACACAACATTTCAATTTTTTTCTTACTAAAAACTGTTTTTGATTTTGAAACTAATCATATAAATGTCCTTGTGAATATCTAGTATCACAACGTGTTAATGCGTCGACGGTAAATGAAAACACTTTTAACAATACACTATTTCACCTGTTTGTACATATATAATCACATAATTCCACTTTCAATTTTTTTGTGAAAAGAGTAATAGAGTGCAAAAAGTTTGTAAATGTTAACAAGGTTGCACATAAAAAAGTGAAAAAACGCACATACATGACAATGCATTCACCATAATTTCCTTTTTAACTAAAGTACCTATACGATACGGGTACAAAAATTGGTATTTGTATCTTATGGCTGCTTGTCACTAATTTTTATGTAGTAGGTAGGTACTTTAACAAGTTTATTGTTTTTTCTACTGATTTGCTTTTAACCTCTAATTAAACTTAAAAATTTAGATATTGGCTAGAGATCACAGCTGTTCACAATTTCACAAGAAATGTGGTGTTCGATTAGGCAAGAAATTATCGAAACGGCCTTTCAATGAACATTGGAATCACTTCACCTAATTTACTTTATGACTGTAATTTGCCAAATAAAGTTTCCAGGGTTCCTAATTTTTGAGTTGTATAATTATGAAACAATACATATTAAGTATACTTTTATTATGTAACCAGAATACAGACAAGGATACTACCTTCATGAGAGTCTGTTTCATGTATACAGTAATGACCTACAAAATAGTATATTAAAAAACGAGTTTCATAAGACAAGTATTAAGGCATGAATCCAAGTTTATAGAACCAGCGAGTTATATAAAGGGGTGAGTGCCACAATGGCCTTCTGAACGAGTTATTTATACTATTTTTTTACCGCGCACGTTTTTTCGCAAAATTAAGTTGAAATTTGCGTTTTTTTAAATCTGGGGAATTTTGTCGTGGTTGGTGGCGATGGGTTGGTCTGACATGAACCACGAAATATTTGAAGTTCGAATTTTCACAACAACTGCAATTCGAATCAATTCGAGTTAAAATTGATTAAAATGTCTTGTGTTAGTGAAGTCCTTACGCCTCCCGAAATAAGGGAAATTTTAATTTGACATTTGCCACTAGCATTCACCTGACATTTCTCGTCATGGCTACCAATCTTACCGACCTAAATTACACTAGATCTATTTCAGAACCCCTTTCCGCTATTAACGAACCGCTTTGACGTCATTTGGGTGCTTCAATAGCTCTATTAGAAAATCAAAAAACGTGTGCGGTAGAAAAAATTATTTTGTACCATTTCCATTTTCTTGCCATCATGAAAAAATGTGTTCCGCGTTTAAAATTCAGTAGAACACTAAAATATTTTTTCAGATAAGATACTTATTGGTTAAGAAAAGACTTCAAACAATCCCAAATGATCACATATACCATTAACATATTTTTTCAATAACAATTAATAGGTTATATTTAACAAAATTGACAGCTTCCTGAGAAGAATATAATTAGACACTCAATAAATCATTACCACGTCGTCGTGAGAATCTTAACGCAGATCTATCCGCGAAACTGGTTTTAATACTGTGATAGTTATGGATTATACGGGGTGTTTCCACTTACTTTTTTCCATTCTAACTGCTTTTTTTTAAGAATAAATTGCTAAAATGCGGCATACCACATATTCTTTAATGAAGGCTGTTAAGGAAAATTAGCAGAAAATGGCAAAGAAATGGTTTTCTAGTGTCAATTTTGTGCACTTCCTACATTAATAACATTTGACGACGCGTCGTTATCTACTCAAATGATTTTGTTTTAAAATCATTAATGTGGATAAATAATTTTGTTCAGGGTATTTCAAAGCTCCTAAGAAGTTTGAAATACCCAACTGTTAACGCAGGGCTTTTTACCTTGACTTTACTGCGCATCGTAAATAAATTTATTCATTAAATTAATGTTTACGGTCTACCCAAAAAAGTAAATAGTCGAACGTGTCGGGTACGTGATTTTAACACCTTCGAAATTTAGAACCATTTTTACCTGTCAGTAATATTTTTTAATATTGAAATAGAACACACGGTAAAATAAAATTTATACACTCGGTCTTATTGCTGCAGTTAAGAAATAGTTTTTTTTAATATTTTTCAAGATAATAAAACTATTTCTATGAAGTTTTTCCTAAGTGTGTTTTTAAAAATTCATGAACTATTTAATGCAAAAAACTAGAAAAAAATATTGTTTTAATGTTAAGTGCCTCGGTATTTTCTTAAAGCCCATTTAGATGCAACGTAACCTAATGTCCTCAATACATCCATACATTTTATGTACTACTTCTATAATCTATTTGTGACTACTGGATTGTTAGAGATTGAGGAAATAGTGAATTGTACTGAATATTTTTGTAAAATGACAGATATTTTATAATGATACAGAACTTTCAGTTACAAACAAGATCCACACCCAAAAATTGTATGCAAGTATCAATGAGTTTCGTCAACTATCGAGGCATTTTCTACGTCAAAAAATGGATATTAGTTTCTTAAGCTTTTTTTTTAATAATATATTCTATGCATAAATCGGTGTCCACAAATCAAGTTTACGGCTTGTTCTTTCTTAAAGCAAAATTTGATTTAACGTTAGTGAGATATGTATAAGCTAAAGGTGTCGGAAGTGACTCACTGGGTTCCATTATCATTTTTATCATTTTTATCACAAACATTGTGCACTTGTGAAATGACTTGGACCAATCAGTGGGTGGAAACAACTACTTTCCGGACAAGAGCCTCGCTGGACGCTGGATTACATCTGCCATCATTGGTGTCACCCGCCTTGTTTTTTATATGTTTTCTATGTATATACATTTAAGCAACGCTATGAAAATCTGTAGACTGCAGTTTCGACCTCCTTCGGTCTCATTAGTATCTACAGAGAACCCAGTAAGTCACTACCTACACATTTATCTTATATCTCACTAACGTTAGCTTGCTTACCTTAGGCTTATAAAACAAGAATTCGAATACTAGACAACCATTGAAATGTGCTGTACTGATGAAACCTAAGGGGGTCGAAACCGCAGTCTACAGATTTTGATTGTTTTGTCTAAATGTTTATAAATAAAAAACTTGATTTGTTTTTAATACTTTCAAAATGTATGATATCCCCGTCTAAAAATTAACAGTAACCACAAATTTAAAAAAAAACTAAAAAATAAACGAGAAATACAGGTTTAAAATTTATCTAAACCACCAACGACAAGCAAAATATGTCAGACGATAGATGATACGCAACAGACGGACGAAAATTCGTAGCCTATGAACTGTGAAAAGCGAATAAAACATTAGGTAAATGAAACATTTGCAAAATATTACTTTCCTGCAAAATTCTACAAGAAGTAAAAATTTTCCTCATTGAAAATCAAAAAGGACTATTAAAAATGTATGATGCATCTATTTGATTAAATCACAAACCTTGAGATACATTTAATAGTAAAAAAAAAGTGGTCGAAGGTTATTTCAATAGAACTTCCCTCGCCCCTGAAGCACAATAAAACGAATCCAAATTATAAAATTTGATTATGTGAATTTTATTTTTTATGAGAACCCTTATTAATTAAAATGAAGAAATGTATGTAATGTTAAACTAAATGTAGTAAAAAAGCGTGCTGTGCGTACGTTTCAAACGAGTTTTCCTTAACTAAATTTCGGATGGTGTGATAGGATTTATTCGGCAAAATTTTTGAGATGACGTCATCAATTTTTTGAGGGGGATAAACAGATATCGCTTCTCGGCCTTATGGCGAAAATCGAAGTGAAGGTAGATATATTTTGATTAAAAATTTACCACGCTTATGCTAACTTTAAAACGTTTGCAAGATTTCAAATCATTCGGTTGTGCTGTTCTTGATTTAATCCCTGCATAAGTAATTCTAAAAATATGAGTGCGTTCATAAACCACAAGTATGCAGTCGTCATATTTTCCATATTTCAGAGAGAATTTATTTAGCAAAATTTTGAGATGACGCCATCAATTTTTTGGGAGGAGATGAACGAATAAGTTTTGCTTGACGATTTATCATTATTACCATAATCTCAAAATATTTATAAGATTTCAGAACATTCGATTTTGCAGTTTCAATGTTAAATTGCAAAATATTGTTATACAGTTTTGAATTTTTTTCCAAAAATTTGTATATGTAAGTAGGATGAAATTTCGACACGGACTCACACACAAGTGCAGCAGTATCTTATTTTATAAAATTTAAAAAAATATTTATTTATTATTATAAATTTTGGAGATGAGGCCATCCCATTGGTGGTGATGATGATTAGCCAAATTTTAAATGGCGTTTAACCATCTACGTGATATGCTGATACACATACAAAATTTCATAACAATCGGTCCAGTAGTTTCGGAGATTACGTGACTAATAAAAATGTTAGC